CAGGCATGTGCCCTTGGCCGGAATCGAACCTGGGACCCTCCAGTCCATAGGCTGATGCTCTATCCACTGAGCCAAGCTGGCCAGGGCACCAGTTGTGGTTCTTGAGTGCCTACGCAGTAACACCCCAATAGTTAGCGGAGCCCTCTTTTCTACCCAGCACAGCATGTCTTGAACGTGTCTCCCTCCGGCCTCCGCCAGCAGCATCTCGGTCCTGGATAACTGCAGGCACTGCGGCAGGTCCTTGCCAGCCTCCCTGCCCCCGTGCTCCAGCGTTTTCTCCCCTCCTCCCAGGCCCTTCAGCCTCACAGTTTATTCTTATTACACTGTGCGGAGAGGAAGGAGTCACAGTGTGGAGACCTGTGCGAGACCAGTGTCTCTCAGGCAGAGCCGGGATCCAGGTTCTAATGGTCTTTGCAGCCCACGGATTCAGAGTGGTTCCATCCTCCTCACAGGGCCCACAATGAGCTCCACAGCCAGCCACCAATCTACCTTTACAGCCTCATCCATCTCCTGCCAATGACCCAGTCAGTCAGCAAGTATCGAGCACCTACCAAATGCCAGACCTGTCGCAGGCATTTGGGGTTCATCTGTGAACAAGCAGAAAGGAAAAAGATCTCTGCTCCTGGGCCCTTCCTTTTTCTTTTTCTTTTCCATTTTTGATGGGAAATGAGGTAGTTGGGAGAGAACAAAGACAAACAATAAACATAACAAGCTAATTATACAAAAAACTGAAATTTCAGATTCAAGTGCTTTAAGAAAAAAAACAGCCCTGGCCGGGCAGCTCAGTTGGTTAGAGCATCGCCCTGACAGACCAAGGTTGCAGGTTTGATCCCCGGACAGGGCACATACAAGAACCAACCAATGAATGAATGGAACAAATCAGTATTTCTCTTTCTCTCTCCCCTTTCCTCACTAAAATCAATCAATTAAAAAAGTAATCTATAATAATAAAAGTGTAATATGCTAATTAGACCAGATGTCCTTCCGGACGAAGCTGGGGCTGCGAGAAAAGCCCGGGTCCCAAGTGCCTGCTGACGGCCGGAGGGAAGCTGGTGCCGGCAGCCAGGGGAAGGAAGGCCTACTGTTGCACGAATTTCGTGCATCGGGCCTCTAGTTATTAAATAAATAAATAAATACAAAGAACAGAGCGAGGTGAGGGAGATCAGAACTCTGGTCGCTGGATTTATTAAACAGCACAGTCAGGGAGGCCTCCTGAGCAGGTGACATCTGAGCAAGGCCTGAACCCTCCCTGTGAGAAGCCACTCTGTTTTCTCTGTCTGGAATTTTCTTCGCCAGCTCTATCTAAGCTTTAAAACTAGCTCAGATTTGACCTCCTCTAAAAAATCTTTTCCAGTGTTCCAGATTATTTCATTCATTTTTTAAAATCTTTATTGTCGAAGGTATAACACATGCCCCCCTTTCATTCATCTTTTTGTAGCATGTTTTCTATACACTCATCTCCTACTCATGTTATGGGGCTGGATACTCTTCGAGACAATAAGCCCTTGAAGGCAGAATCTTGTCTCATGTTTGGGAGACAAGTGCCCAGCGCAGTGCTTTGTGCCCAGTAGATAATAAAACAGTATCTAGAGACTCAGTGGATGAGCAAGATGTTTGGGGCTAACTCCAGAAACTTGCTCTGGGCCTCCGTGGCAATGGAAAATGATGGAAGTGATCTGACTGGAAACCTGGGCCCTCTTGATAGCTAGTCGCTCACCTGTTTGATGATATAAGTTAGCTCCTCAATCTCCACTGCTTTATCATCAAAGAGGGACTTGCGCTTTGCCACTGCGGAGATAAAGAAGCCACGACGGGTGACCTCAAAGAGAAGGCTCAGGGAGTACGGTTCCTCCACCCTCCTGGTCCACTGCCCGTTCCTGTAACACCCCAAGAACACTCACAGATTGTCAGCTTCTCCAGCTTGGCGAAGGTGTTGCTGAGGTCTTTCCCAATGCGCCTGCAAGCAAGCGTTAGTGAGAGCACCGTGGGAGAGAGCAGGAGAGGGCCTCCTCCCCCATCAGCTCCAGCACAACCCATTCCAGCCCTCACAGCCAGGCCAGCAGAGGCAGCCTCCTCCTCAGACACTGCCTCAGCCCACTCCACTCCTCTCAACTCACTTGGCCATGAGGGAGAATTCACTGCGCTGCCGGACAGCACGGAGAGCTGGCTTGTTTGTCTGTATCCCATTCTGAAAAGCAATGTCAAGAGGTGAAACTCGAATCCCCTTCCCCATCACCAGCTTTCACTGTTCTCAGCTGTCCGCTAAACTCTCTCTAGGACTGACCGTATCCTCTACCAGCGGGTCTACCGGGAGTAGCGGGAGTAGCAGGTGAGAGCCCAGATTTGAAGACAGAGAGACCCGGGTTCAAATCTTGATTCTACCACTTAGTAGCTGTGGAGTTTGGGGCAAGTTACTTACACCGTTCTGAGTCTGTATCTCCTCTCCTACAAAACGAAGACAACCCCCACACCTCCTTATGGGTGTTGCTAAGATTAAAGGACACGGGGTGGTAAAAAGTATTTCAGCCGAATAGCTGGTGCACTGTTAAGACTAAATACACAGCTCGGATTACCATTCTAGTCTTCCGATCTGGGAACCAAAGAGGATAACGGGAGAGCTCTTGGAGAGTAGAGTGCAGAAGAGCAGGTGTTAACAAGGGCTGAGCAGTACAAGTATTTGAAATTGCAGTCACTCGGGCCCCTCCTACATTCACCAAGTCTGGATCAAGGCAAGGGAATGCAATTTCTTAAAACGCACTCCACACTGATTTTGGTAAAAGTTACTTATCTAGACAACTCCCTTCAGTTTACAGATACAGAAACAGAGCGAACTTGTGGCAGCACTATACCAGAGCTAGAATTCAAAGTGGTTGTCTCTGGGCTAGAGGCTCTTTCTAGAACCTGTTCCTTATCCAAACCCAATATCTCTCACCCCGAGGTATTCCTTCAGGATCAGCAACCCTACCCTCCAGGTTCCTCGCACGAGAAGGTCTGTGTGTCTGCCTGTAGGTAGCGAGCCCACCTCTTCACAGATCCCACGCCCCCTCCAAGCCCGGTCAGTTCCCCATCAGACTCCCGCAAGAATGCGCTCCCCCAGCTCCGAGCAGAGCGCACCCCTGCCTTTCGTTCCCACGCCCGGCCCTTACCTGACGGCTCTGCAGGAATTTGCAGGCAGACAGGAACTCCTGGGTCCGATCCCGGCAGGACATGGTGTCGGGAGGGGGAGGGACCAGGGCCACTGGGGGGGGCGGAGGGGCGATGTCGCGGCTGCTACTGCCAGCAGTTGCAGGGGACAGGACCTGTGTCTTTGAGAGACCCAGGTAGACACCCTGATCCGTGTTCTTAGTCCCGTAGCGTTTCCGCGGGATCATTGAGACGCATAACCTCGGACTGTTGTGGAGGGGAGAGTGTCATTCCCAGGCCTCTCCCCCAGAAACTGCCCCCAACCAGCAAATTCTTGCGCCCCGAAGCCAACCGCAGATCCTGGGGCCGGCGGGCAACAGGCTGGGCCCCACTTCCTCTCCGGCCTAAGCCGCTCCCTCCTCACTCTTCTTCCAACTTGGCTCGGGCAGCGGGAGCGCGGGCCGGGGGGCCCCGAAGCAGAGACAGGGCCCACGGCAGGACCCGCGGCCCCAAAGCTCCAGCTCGGCCTGTGCAACTGCCCCCAGGCCCTAGCTGGGCCCTCCTGGATCCACGGGTTCCTTCCCCGCCTCGGGGAGAAAGGGTAACGGACCTTCGGAGGGGGGGACACACTTCGGTGGGCGGAGGGGGAGAAATCTCCGGGTGTTTATTTGAAACAGGAAGTCCCACCCCCCGCTCAAGCTCCGCCTTCTAAGGGAACTGCAACTAATGATTAGCTCATGCCGACGTCTTTCTTAATAGAGGCTTTCCTGATTGGACACCGAGGTATTCGCTCACCCCGAGCCCGGCCGGCAAGACTTGTCCGCTCGCCC